ACCGACATACAATCATTAAGCAGGTGCGGCTCCAACCCCATCATGAACCGGTGAACCCGATCCTCTATCTTAGCTACAATAGTGGAAACATACCTAGCCAAAGAATCAAACTGAAGGTTGTACTCCCGAACACTTATATTACCCTGTCGAAGGGTCATGAACCTATCAAATATGGCCAGTCTAAGCTCTAGTGGCAGAAAATGATGAAGAAAAGCCTCTGTAAACTCCTACAATACAGCTGGAAGGGCATCCTCACCTATGGACAACTCCAAAGGCTCGTACCAATTAATTGCAACATCCCGAAGTCTATATGAAGCTAGATCAACTGACACAGTCGCAGTGGACTTCATTACCCTCAAAGTCCTCTACATCCTATCGATAAATACCTGAGGGTCCTCGTTTGGATTTGCTCCAATGAATACTGGAGGGTCCAAATTAATGAAATCACAAACCTTCGCACTGATGACCCTGTCTGCATGACCAATACCTACCTACTGGCGCCAAGCCTATACGACCACTAATCGAGTCAATAGATGAATAGCATGTCTCATCTCCTGACCCGGTGCATCTGGCTGAGGAGCTGGGGTACTGGAGTGGGCGCTGGATATGGTGCCCCTCGGATCTCCTCTGGAAAGGGCAAGGTATGTGAAGTCTAAGGTGGAGTCTCACTATGCGACTCTCCTCGAGCCCTGGTAACTCGTGGCGCTCGACTTGTAGTCTCATCAGCCACAGACTTGCCCTTCTGGGCAGCTTTAGCCTTCTTGGGGCATCGCTAAAAACAAACATATTGTTAGGAAAACGAATCCTTATAGCGCACGATCTAAGATAAGAAGGGAGGATAACATCTGATATGTCCTGCAGCCTCCTGTTTATAAGTGTGGTGCACAACACACTCATAAACAAGACTCTACTAGACATGGTCTGTAGACAACCCTAGGATGGAACTGCTCTGATACCACTTTTGTCACGATCCAAACCGATGGGCTATGACGAGTGCCTGATTTCTACCTGTCGAACATCCCTAAGCATACGTCTAAAAGGTATAATCTTGAAATAAGTGTAGGTCATGTATAACGTCTGTCAATAAACTACTGATTCATGTGGATAACATACGCGGGAAAATAAGCCCAAAGGACATATATATATATATATATATATATATATATATATATATACACACACACACACACGCACACACATACACTCCTGGTAAGATACTTTTGTATCCCTTATTCAATTTTACACTCTATTGAGGTCTGTAGACAGTCATGTATAGTTGCATAGTATCTTACCAAAACCCAATAGCAGCTCCGGATCAAATGGAGCACACCAACTCTTGCTGAGCAAGGATCCTAAGAAGGGGGACTGTCAGCCTGTCTACCTGCACATGCGGGCATGAAATGCAGGTTCCCAGGCAATAAGGGCATGAGTATGAATAATGTACCGAGTATGTAAGGCATAAAAATCAGCATATAAAAGACATGAAAGAAACATGGAGTAAAGGACTCAACCTATAAGTCTGAATAGCTCTGTGAATCATGAAACATTTATAATGTCATGCATATGCGTATAAATGTCATATCATGCATAGATATGTGCATAAAATCATCCAGCCTCTAAGGATAACCCAACATATCATGTCGGCCTCAATGGGCGAAGTCATCAACGTATGCCAGCTGATCAGGTGGTGGTACGTATATAACGCCATAACCTTTCCCATACCCCATATACATATACTATAAGCGTATATAACGCCATCTGGTCATGGGTCAATAAACATGTATAAATGAATACAATGCATAATGAAGTAAGTCAATAAGATCTCTCGGAATGTCATGAGATCCATGAACAAACGATATGATAGTCGGACATATGGGGAGTCAAGAACATAGGCAACTCTAGTACTTCTAAAAATAGAATCATTTATGAAAGTTGCGTGCTTGCTCGTTTCGTTCTATCATATGGATCATGCCAAAAGGAAAGAAGGGATAGCCTTAACATTCCTCAAGTCACAAATGCAACTCAACAACAAGCTTATGACAACTAGCACGCCAACCCTATAACAAAGAAATACATGTACAATTTAGATGGCGCTAGTATATCACATATCTCAAACGATAACTCGATTCTAAAATAAAACGGGTAGAATTTCCCCTGATTTTACTGCTCCCTCAAGCCTATCATAGGCGAGATAATAACATAATACAACCAGCAACTCAAAAACAACCTACCTACAATTCGGAAACTACTCTGAACAAAAAAACCCAAATATACCATCATACACCCAATCAACAAGTTATCAATTAGCTTGAATTGCAACGACGAGTGACCAACCCACTACCCTACCACATGTGGCATTTCTCCACATCCTTTATCCTTCTAAACTCCATAAATCAGCAGCACAATAGGCCAACACGAGTGGACTACAAAACAATCCACTAAAATTGAAATAAATTGAACTCACGGCTTCCGATCACCGTCCCGTGAGGTCTAACTATTAGGAAATAAACTTATAAACCTTCCTTGATATTTAAATGCTTAAAAATAGAATGTAGGCATTTTCTTAACTATTATGTACCTTCAAAAACTCAAACTACAAAAAAAGAGAGGCGATATAGCGATACTTACGTCATAGGGATTGTTCTAATGTTATCGCTTCTTGATTTCGTACCCGGGATGTTAATCTTCTTAGAAACCTTTATAGAGAGCTTAAGGGTAAGTTTATGGTCTTATTTTGGTCGTGGTCTGTGGAAAAATAATAAAGAGACGACATAAGGGATATATATATATATATAT